ATCCCCCCGAAAGTGACAGAGCGTCCCCTGCGCATGCGCAGGGAATGCTCTGTAGCTGGCTGTGCCACCGCCGCCTCCTCGGAGCCGGGCGGGGGGGAGGACCGGCCTCGCTGCTGCCACCAAGCCCGGCAAAGGGGGGGGGAAGGACCGGCCTCTCCGCTGCCGCCTCCTCGGGGAGATCGAGCGGGGGGGATGGAGGAGACGGAGCTCTTCCCCCCCCCCCCGCGAGTATCGCGGGTCCCCGTCTTGTATTCTTCTAACTGCAGATTTGCTTCCTTTTCTGTACTTTTTTTTAAATTGTAGACTCTGTATATTCTGGATGCAGAATCTACTGGGGACACAAAAAAATCTCTTACAGCAATATATATTCTGCTACCATTTAGAAAAAGCAAAATGCAGAGCTTTGTTTTTAGTCCAGGTTACACACAGTGCCCCTCTCTCTTAATTGTTGTGTTCTTGTCAGATGTTTAAATGAAATTCTCAAATCCCTCTCTGTGTCTCTTTTCAGATTATACCAGCTATCAAAGGCTGGGAAACTGTGTGTTCCAGCCATGAATGTCAATGACTCTGTCACTAAACAGAAGTTTGATAACTTGTACTGTTGCAGAGAGTCCATCTTAGATGGGTGAGTCTGATATAAAGTGGTGGGAGGAGAGAACAATCCCAGGCTTCCATCTTGTGCTGGTGCACCCATTTCTACAGTGGAGTTTAAATCAAAACCTTTCTGTGATGTTCAGTTGTATAGTGTGTTAAGTACATACTTATAATTGCAGCTAACTTAGTTAAGTGAGAGTCTCTTTCTGTCCCACAGCCTAAAGAGGACAACAGATGTGATGTTTGGAGGGAAGCAAGTAATAGTGTGTGGCTATGGTGAGGTGAGTCCTAAAAAGTGATCCTGCAATAGCCTGGCTAATTTAGCAGCTCTTACCAAGTTACCCTTGCATAGTATTTATTGTCTGCTTATATTAGTAATGGCTTCTTAGACTTGGTTAACGAAGTGAGCATTTGGAAGCAATTGTGTGTTATCAGAACATTATCTAATTGTAATGGCTGTCATGGGTAATTGCAAGCTGCTGATGTTTGCAAGTTTGGAATTATATAAAAATATCTGGTCTCATTTGTGTTCATTCAATAAAATCTGGTAAGAGTTTAAGACATAATTGCAGAGGATGTTTCAGATTATCTGGAAACTTGCATAGACTGCTCTGTTTCAGCATTGTTACTACCAGCATCCTTTGAATATATCCCCATGTTGAACTCCATGTATTTTAGGACCAAACTAGATGACAGTGGCAGGTCCATATATTCAAGGTGGAATTGCCACAATCTTATAGAAAGAGGGCTGTGTCTCTGTGCTGGTCCCATTTTAATGGCAAAACTCTTGCCCTACCTGTGGCTTGCCTCTGTGCTGTCCCTCCTCTGAAAAATGTCTTAGACACAGCCCATTACTGGAAGTGCTGTTGTCTGGTAGAAAAGCACTTGGGGAGAGGGTCTGCAGAGAGCTATACTGGTGGCTGGGGAAAGGGTTGTATGGATATCTTGCCTGTGTGCCCCTTTTGCTTTTAAATTGGACCCACCTCCCATCCCACTGGACTAACAGTTGTTCTTCTCCTCTCCACTAGAAGTTTGTTCATAGAAAGTAGTCACACTAAATGAGGGAACCCGGGGGGGAAACAGTACCCCTCTTACTCGTTTTTAGTTGACTCTCTGCCATTATTGTGAGGTAGTAAAAGGATTATCATACTAGAGTCTAATTCATGTGTGGGGAAAATTCTGAGCCCATGAATGAATGCTTTGATTTGTTGCTGTCTTTGTGTATTGCAGGTTGGAAAGGGATGTTGTGCAGCTCTGAAAGCTCTAGGAGCTGTAGTTTACATCACAGAGATTGATCCCATCTGTGCTCTTCAAGCTTGGTAAGAAATGAGGTATTACAAATGCTGCTGTCTGAGAGCACTAGCCTCTTCTCTTACTGTTTGCTGTTCTCTTGAGCCACTTCAGAAGGCTGAAATGAAATCAGTCCACTTAAGAAGAGCCTTTTGTACCCAGAGCCCTCATAAACCAAGGCTCTCCTCATTAAGGTATAAATCTTTGGTAGAATCTTCCATCCCTTGTGATCAGATAATAGGGACCTCCTTTGAGAGTGTCATCAGTATACATCATTGAATTGTGCCATCATAGCTTTACCTTATAAATTGCAACATGTGCTAAGGAAAAGTTCACTCAAACACTTCTGTCAACAGGTGATGAATATTAAATTAAAAGATGCAACAAGCTCTTTCTCCTCATAAAGAGAATAGTGGCTAGTTAAGTATGAAGCTAGCCCTGAAGAACTACACTGCCAATTTGCTGTCTGATCCAAAGATGGAATAGGAAGGCAACATCCAATTCGATTTAGAGAAGCACTAAAATACAACTGGAGTAGCCATTTAATTTTTAAACTGGATTAATTTATCTTCACTGTTGAACACTTAAAGCATTTGAAGCATGCTGTTTTTAGTATATTGTGCATAATATCTGCACAACACTCAATTTTTTTTGTCCTACAGAATAGCTGCTTCTCTTCAGACCATCACACAGCCTATTTGTACTTTTCAGGAATGCAATTAGTATCAGGAAATGTGAATACTCTTTCTTTGTTCTGTATTTGCAAAACATAGGAAAACTTTAGTGTACAATAGGAAAACCTTCTGTGACTTAACCCCACATCTGTTCAGGGCTGTTGACGTGAAACAAAAGTGAGACATTATCACTAAAAAGGCTCTGTCTCTGGTTGTCACCTGGCTCACCTCTGTGGGTAGGAGTCCAGAGAGCAAAGCTTGGAAAGAGGATTGTAACTAGCAGGCTGGACAGTGAGAAGGAAGTGAAGCATCTACAGGAAATTCAAAATGGTGGTTTTATCCTATAAAGCCATAAATGGTCTGATACATGTTCTAAGAAAGAGCAGTTGATTCCATATGAAACAGTCTGACAGAGGCCTTGCTCTGGGTGCCCCTGCCTTTAGAGGTGAGGCAGGTGGTCACGAAGGATAGCGCTGGCTTTCTCTGGTGACAGTCCAGCTTGGAACTCCCTCATCAGAACAGTTTGCCAGGTTCCATTGTTAACAGTATTGTAATGTGCCTTATTAAAACTTTTGCCACCTTCCCCAGCATTTAATTCTTAAATGCTAATTAATTTTCTTCCACAATACTTATTTTTGATTAATAGTCATTGAAGGTTATTTTTACATTTTGTTACTGTTATTACAGTGTTTTATATGACACTGTGGAGACTTCATGGTTTCAAAATGGGATAAAATATTTTAAATAAGTAGACAGGAAATGTCTGCATGCATAACCTTGAGGATTCTGATTAGTTTGCTTTTCTTAAAAAGTCAAGTATATACTTCAACAGCATTTTGCTTCCAAATAGTTTTTTTTCATTGCTGATGTTATAATTTAACAAGTTTTATATCAATTTGACTTGCAGTTCAAACAGCAGAGCAGAACATAAACTATCTTGTGCTTCAAAGTATTTAAACCTAGTATCTCTTCAAACCTCAGCTGCCATCAGTTATGAATTATAATTTGGTGAAAACTGCAACTGTTTTATGAAACTGGAGTATCAAATAACAGAGTACATGTGAGAATACTTGTATATGATCACACTGTGATACTCCCAGTAGATTCTCTAATGCTGTATCAGATTTGGAGGAGTGGAGTTGTGACTGGTTTTAACGGTTCAGAGTAGCCTGAGCATTCCTGTTTTATCTCATGTTGCTGTAGTCAGTCATGTTCCTTTACTGTGTTACCTTCTCTTTGGCAGCATGGATGGGTTTCGAGTAGTGAAGCTAAATGAAGTCATTCGTCAGGTGGATGTGATCATAACTTGTACAGGTAAAGCAGTCTGAAAGGGGTTGTGGTTATGTGTGTATATGTCTGTCCATGCTGTTTTTCTCCCCTTTGCAATCCAGTTCTGTCGTGCTAGTAAACAAGGTAATATTGATACATTGTCAAGAAGTACTTCCCCACTCAGTTCTGTGTTAAAACAGGACATTAAATACATACTATACTAGTCTGACTGGTTCTATATGCAGCTTTGTTATTAAAGCTTTAATTGTGGAATGGGAAAACTTGGAAGTTCAATTTTTGCCTTCAATTTGATTTAGATGCTTCTTTTCATTTTAGGAAATAAGAATGTGGTGACTAGGGAGCACTTGGACAGAATGAAGAACAGCTGCATTGTGTGTAATATGGGTCATTCCAATACGGAAATCGATGTGGTGAGCATCCTTTAAGTATATTTGCTCTTACAACTCTCTCAGCAGGGTCTGATGTTTGAACTGTGTCTCAATCTGTTCCCTCCCAGGCTAGTCTGCGTACCCCCGAGCTGACCTGGGAGCGTGTACGTTCTCAGGTGGATCATGTAATCTGGCCTGATGGCAAGCGTGTTGTCCTGCTAGCTGAGGTATGTCTGGGAACACACATATAGAACCTTCTCTAGAGGATGATATCAGGAGTCAACTTGCTGATTGTCAAGTTCAGGGTATTAAAAGATGATGGGACAGATACCAGTTTGTACAGTGCAACCAAGGAGAAACTGTTGTGCTGAGAAAAGAATGAAATTGGTACACGAAGAAGGAAAGAAGGGTGTCCTTCTGGTACCTTGTAATTGTCATCTGATTCATTCTTTACAGTGGAGAACAAATGCTAGAAGACCAGTGGGGATTTAGATATGGGGAGGCTTCAGGGTTTCTGCTAAGCAGTTCTTAACACCTTTCTTACCTGTATGGATTCAGTACAAATTTAAATAACTGGAAGTGAGTCTTTTCCTGATAAAAAAATAACTTCACCTGATAATCTTCATAGCTATTAATCTTGGATTGAAGCTACACTGTTCCTGGCCTAAATGATATTTGTGATGTATGTGTTTAAAGCAGCAGTCTATTGACTAGCAGGTTTTTGAATATGAAATACTGTGCACATTTTTTTCATGGTTCTGAGGTTCCATATACTGGTAACTTATCACAGATATATTTTATGTCCTATCTTTCTAGGGACGACTTCTCAATCTGAGCTGTTCAACTGTTCCTACCTTTGTTCTGTCAATCACAGCTACCACTCAGGTATATGACTGCGACATCCCTGGCCTCTGTATCTTGTACCATATTTACAATGTTTTCTGTTCCTGGGATTGCAAAATATATGTAGAAATTAATTATCCTAGTTCTTAAACAACTTAACTCTGAGCAAAAGTATATTTAGCGTTTTTCTTGGAACAGTACTTTGCGTGTTATTTTAAAGTTTTAAACGGACACATAATATTAAATATCATTGCATTAAGAATACTAGTGTGCAATTAACCCTAAATTCAGTGCACAAGTACACATTGCTTGTAATCCTGCATGTTTATTTTGCAGCATTCTTTAATCTTAAAAGTTCATGAGGAACAAAGGCTTTGAACTAGAAGTGAAGCTATATAATGAATAAGGCAGCAAACAGGTAGACATGGGAGGACAGGAAATTTATGCAGAGTTCCCAGCTCTTCCATAGGTTGTGTGCTTTTCCTCTACCCTGCCCTCATGTGTTGTAAGCTTTTATATACAACAACCTCATAAAGAGACAATCAAGATTTTATTCTGTTCTCACACAGTGAATCGGTAAACATGTGAGATACATAATCTCTGCAAACGTCTCACCTCTTAGTGTGTCCATCCTGCTTAATTTTTAAAAAGCATAATGACTATCTGCTACTAAATTTGGGTATGGTTTGGGTAAGTTCGATTCCCAATCTGAGCAAGTTAAAATACAGGGGAAGTAGATGGATGATATGTTTCAGCAGTTGAACAGCTCTAGTATTTAATGAAATATCACTATGCACTTATTCAGGTAACTAGAGTGTGTTTAATAATTTTTTTAGCATTTTCCCATCTTGAAACCAGCAAAGAGATCCCTTTCATTAACAAATGTTATCCTGAACAAAAAAAACCCCTCACTGCAGTTTGCTAAACTACTTCAAAAATTTGAAGCCTCAGAACTGTCCCTCCCCCTTTTCCCTTAAGTAGAGGTTCTAAAATAAATTTACTGATTAGAAGCTAATTGGTTAGCTTCAAGGCAGGTGAATTCCAACTAAGATTAATTTTTCAGTGTGTGGGCAGCATGTGCTGGGAAGAATGGCTAGAATATACTTTCAACATCTCTCTAATATTTGCAGGCTCTGGCTTTGATTGAGCTTTACAATGCTCCTGAGGGACGATATAAACAAGATGTGTACCTGCTGCCTAAAAAGATGGGTGAGCAAAGCATGACTGAATCTTTAGCAGTAGCTTTTTGACTAGTGAGAAGGTAACTCACATTTATGTTTGCAGTACATTTAGTTTCTTATTAACCAGAAGCTTGTGATGGGCAGCCAAGCTTAACAAATGTGGAGAAAACATTGAAAAAACCTGGTGTAAGATATCTAAAGATTTGAGGTGTGCTTGGCACATGGTGTTTCATGCCACGCCCCTGGAATTTAGATGTGTTTAGATACTAACTCCTTTGTGTCTAAAAAATTTTGTGCTCATTAGTTTTGAACTGCTGTATATTGTTGATATGACTGTAAACCTGGGAATATATCCTGGGCAAACCATTATCAAAAGACAGGGTATAAATCTAAAAATAAATACTTGGGTCTGCCAGCACCAAAATGTGAACATTCACCAGCAGTTTTGCATAGGAACATAGCAGTCCTGTAAAGGGTGTCTGTACGGTGTACTGCTTTCTAATCTACCCTTTTCTATTTCTGCTTACAAGCCCATTGATGGGATGCTTAGAATACGAAAAACAAAAGGTATAAGTTTCTACTGTGCCCTCTGGCAAGAACTGTAAAAATCAAAGCATCTGTTAAATACTCAGTTTGCAGTGAGAGATTTCAAGGTCCTGCCACTGCGTAGGTCACTTTCAAGGTAGTGATTTTTCTGTTCTGAAGTTCCAGGACTGAATATGAAGGAGCAGAACAGAAGTGAAATACTTTATGAATTGACAGTCCTTCTTAGTATTTATATAATCTTTTTTGATCCACAACAGGAGTTCCAGAGCTGCTGTGCTGGACTTGCAAGTTGACCTTATATTGAATCTAGTGGAAATAGCTTCCAGTGTTACCTGCTTCTCTCAAAGATGTGTCTGGACATATTCTGGAAAACCCTTTTGATAATCTCAGCCACTCTTTATCTTGTATTTTTCTAGATGAATATGTTGCCAGCTTGCATCTGCCTTCATTTGATGCCCACTTGACAGAATTAACAGATGATCAAGCAAAATATCTGGGTCTCAATAAAAATGGGCCCTTCAAACCAAACTATTACAGGTAACTTATCTCTATGAAGGAAAATGGGACACAGCTTGGGTCTTCTGAAGGATAGGCAGATCTGACAGCATGGGTTGTAGATTTCTTTAGTTTTCTTGGTGTAGTGGTAAGAATAGATGCAAAAACCAAATATCTCATGGCACCTTAAAGATAAACAGATACATTGTGTTATAGACTTTTGTGGACTAAAGTTTGTCATAATTAATCTGTCGTCCCTAAGGTACCACAAGACACTCTGCTGTGTTTCCTGCAACAGACTTACATGGGACTTGTCTGCAGGAAACATAGGGTGCCAACCTCCAGAAGCATGGAGGTCTCCCAGGATTACAGCTGATCTCCAGATGTCAGAGATCAATTCCCTTAGAGAAAATGGCTTCTTTGGAGGGTGGACTCCATGACATTTTACCACAGTGAAGTCCTTCACCTTCCCAAACCCCACCCTCTCCATGCTCCACCCTTAAATATCCAGGAATTTCCCAACACAGAGTTGGCAACCTTAAGGAAACTCACGTATATTAAATTCTACTGTAGCTAGAGTAAGAGTACAAGTGATCGATTGCTGTGACTTAGTGAGGTGCCTAATGCTTCATTTTCTATGTCATCTCTGCTGTAGGTACTGATGGACCATATCGCTGAAGGACCAGACCACACACTAAACACAAGAGCTTTAGCAAGAATATTTTTAAAGAACGTATTTTTGTTTTACTTTCTGAAATGTTTTTATTTCTTCATGTGATCTTATTGTCCCTTTTCATTCTGGTTTTTAAAAATATTATTTCCATGTCTGTGTCGGACCCTGCAGACAACCTGGGATTTCCATGCTGCATTACCACTGAAATAGTGTGGTTTCATCCTCCTACCTCTTTTGCTAGTGGGAGGATTTCTTTTGGCGACGGAGGGCATTCATTTCCTGTGGTGATTTTTTTAAATTTAAACCCTTCCAGTGCACCTTAGTTCTAGTTAATATATCTGAAAAATATTAAGAGTGCTATTTTTTTTTCTGTGTGGAAAATTCTAAATTGCCTTAATAAGCCCCAGTTTGTTAGCTGCTAGATCAGAGCTCCTCTTCCTGCACTGGAACAGAGTTGACACCTTGTGGCCACCTAACACACAAACGCATATTCCTAATCCTAATTGTGTTATCTGAGGGAGAGGGGAGTCCTTTTAATTTCAGTGGGACAATTTCAATCACTATCAGTTATACTGGGTTTTTTTCTACATGAAACTTGTAGTTGCATACATGGTTACACTAAGCCTAGGTGGATGCTAGGTCCTTTTTTTGAGAAGTTAGGGTGCTAATTTGAATGGATACACTGTCTTTGCCTTTCTGTAACCTAGATTGTAGATTTCTTTAAGACAAGAGGTATTAATATCCTCTTTTAAAAGGTAATGGGTGAGGATTTCTTTAGTTTTCTCCTGGTTGGGATAATTTTAAGCAGAACATGTCAGCAATTGCATTGTAGAACTGTTAGTGCCCACTCCCATCAGCCCTTATGAGCTGAAATGGTACTTCTTGTAGGCCAGCCCTTCACTTGCATTGCACTGGCAATGTTTAGATGATGTAGCAGCTCTAGTTTTTCAAGTCTTACAAAGAATGATTCATTGTGTAAAGCATTCACTCCATCTTCAGGCTCCATTTGTAGCAAATGAATATTGAAGGTGGAATTCCTTCCCATTGGCACTGCTACTCTGAGTGCTCTGCTGCTTTTAATTACCTTATATCTGTAAGCTAGCATAGTATGTTGAATTAATGTGATGCACTGGCATCTCTCCTGTGAGATCACAGTGTAGCCCAGCTTTCATATTTTAGTGCCATAAAAAAGTGGAAGTTTCAGCACATTGGAAGCACACAATCAGCTAAGAGTGGTTCAGGCAAGTGTTGTTGAGGTACGTCTGATCAATTCACACTTGTGCTGAAATCTCAGTGGGCAACAATGTCAAGAGACTACTATGAAGCATGGTGAACACATTACCAATCTTGAACTTTCTGCCTTTTATGTAAACTCTGCAGAAGACTTGATGTAAATACTGAATATAACATTCCTAACTCCACCTTAATATAGTGTGTCCCACAACTGTATGACCCATGCTGGGTTAGGTAGGCTGTGGTCGCCCTGATTGGTCCTCCACTAGGAATAGTCTGAGATTTGGAGAGTCTCATAGCCACTAAAGCTTTGCACACTCATAATGCCTGCTATACAATTCTCAGATCACTAAATTACCCTTATCCCTTACCAAATAGTTGCACATTGGCAACTAAGCCTTTTCCAGTATTCCAGACCAATGACTCTGACTTGAATACAGGGGCTCCCTCTCCTTTCAGTTTCCCAGAATTTGATTTACTTTTGTTTAAGTTTGGCGGGCCAAATGACCTTTCTTAGTATAATGAGCCCAGGACTCACTCTGTGTATGTTTGTTTCCTTTCTGTTGTTCTTAGTTTGCCACACACCAGGGTGGCTTGTTTTGTTTTTTCCTTTTGTCAATTGCACAGCTCTAGTACCACAGGCTCTAATCCCAGAAATGGCTTGGATCCCTCTAAGCCAAACAAAGAACATATTCCCAAAAGTCCTCCATGAAGCCCATGGGGAACACCTTTCATTCCATTTGTCTGCCTCTGTGTTGCAGTGTCAATAGATATCTTAGCTAAGGGCTCCATCTCTGTATAAGCCATGAAATAAATTCTCATGCCTGGCAACACCTCAGTTCAGTCAGAGGGAGCATGTTATAGCATCAACCCAGATGGGGATAGGTTTATTTTGTATATGAATGATTTTTAATGAACGCAATATTAATCCTTGCAGATGAGCAATAAATCATTACGCAAAGTCTAAATAAAATGATTAGAAAAATTCAACTGCCTTGAGATCCATTCTTATTATAGGGCTTTTCTGGGTACCTAGCCTGCATGATGTAAGGAAGGAAAAGGGGAAGTATGTGGCCTCTTCTTACAGTTCCGGTTAATTTCAGTTGTTATCCCTGGCAACCTGTTTATCTTCTTGGTAGAGTAGGCTGGATGACAGGAGCTTGAGCGCAAGAAAGGATTTCATTCCCGTATCTCTTAATTCCCTAAGTGGGCTTTACAGAAAGGGAATAACTTCTAGCGTCAGGAACTGACTGCAGTGCACTGAAGGAAGGCCCTGCATCCATACTTCCACAAGGAAACTCATATCTAGCATCTTGAGATGCAGAGAATTGGGTTGGTTCCAATTGCGTCTCAAAATACAGAGAGAAAAGACTGCTGTTTATAATTGCCATTACAGCCAGTGCTCATACTGCTAGCAGAGGAAACAGCATGTGGAAAGCCCAAGGAAGATCTACTATATCTATTGTGAATCAGAAATAAAGAGGCCATGAAACCTTAGTGATAAACTGGCAGTCATAATTTCTGCCTATTTTCCTATAAGAGCAGGGTCTGTGGTGCCAGAAACAGCAATATGCTGTGTAAGGATGTAGGTTCATCGGTGCCAAGATTCATCATTGTGATAGCTCTTCAGTCCCACATGGGTATTGCATACACACAGGCCTGCTGTGGAGAGATTTTTTGAAGCTCAAAATGCCTAGAGGCGGCCAGTTCCCCTCCCTGTTCCTGTCTTTTCCAGTGTGATGGGGGGTTGCAAAGTACCCTTTCCTCAGTTCTCTCTTTGCTGCCTCTGAGAGAGCTCAGTGACAAGAAGCTCCATCTTTTCAGCAGTTAACTGCTAACAACTATCTACCTTCTCTCTGTCTTGCAGAGACCAGTGTCCCAAAAAAAAATGGCCCAAAAGGTGCTTTTCAAGAAATCCAGATCCTGTGGGTCAAAAATCCCCCACTCAGATGACCATGAGCAATGCTGCAGTGAGGAGCATGACATTATGCGATACTCTTATTGTTAATTTACTTCCAAGGCATGACAGGGCTTCCAGAGGAGCATGACATTATGCAATACTCTGTTTATCGTCAATTTACTTCCAAGGCATGACAGGGCTTCCTGCCTAAAAGTGGCACTTTTGGGAAAGCCTTATACGGTGCCACTCAGGAAAAGATCTGAGCAACATGCCACCATCCCCCACTGACTGACAGATGGATCTGAGTTTCCTCAGTTCCAAGACCCAACCTGAATACTCCAGACCCAACAAAAAGTACAGGGAAAAGCCACAGGCTCTGCTCCTAGATCCAGAGGAGTTAGCCATGTTAGCCTGTTGCTGCAAAATAGCAAAAAGTCCAGTAGCACCTTTAAGACGAACAAACTTTATTGTAGCATAAGCTTTTGAGAAACACAGCTCTCTTCATCAGATGCAGGCTCTGCTCCTGCATCCCTGGAGCACAGCTGCTCAGAACAAGCACCTGGTGAAGCCTGCTAAGTTGAAGCCATTGTCCACCCTTTACCACACCTGTCATAAGGACCCAATTCTGTGCAAATCTGCACTGGAACCAGTCAGTCAGTCCTTGCTCTGAGAACACCCTCTCAATCACATTGCTCACTGCCCTCATCCTGTTCCACCTCAGAAGGGAAGTGCAGGATTTGGAACCTCCTATCCCATATCGTCAACTCCCCTCATCTTAATGTTCAATACCATAGTTCCCTCTAAGCTGCACACAAAAATTTAACAGGCAGCACATGGGGTTTCTGCTTCGGCTCACAAGGCATTTTTACCCCTATCGGAATCAATGGAGGATGAGGCACCTCCTGGGGCCCATAGAATTGGACCCCCTGGTCCGTCTTTTTGAAACTTGGGGGGGGGTCATGAACAGAAGCTATGCTGCAAATTTGGTGCCTCTACCTAAAAAAACAGCCCCCCAGATACCTCCAGATTGATTCTCCATTATAGCCTATGGGGTCTATTGACTATAATGGACCCCATAGGCTACAATGGAGCTGGGGGGAAATGATTTTTCCCCACAACCCTTTTCAGTATGATTTGTAAGCTGCCTTGAATCATGGGAAAGTGGGATATAAATATTTGAATAAGTAGTTTTGGCAGGTTGATAATATTTAAGCAACTTCCTGTTTATTAGGTTAGGCAGGGTTCTGAAAGTTATTGTTCCTCCTCTGTTATACTTGACCTGTAAAGCTGGTTGTCATATTTCACTAAAAAAACAACAAACTAGACTGCAAGAGTCCCCCCCCCCCCAAGT